AAATTTTGGCGCACTTCATGCTTTCTTTCTGCTGAGCAGCTTTTTGAAGATGCTGATTTCATTTTCCAGCAGGATTTGGCACCTGCCCACACTGCCAAAAGCACCAAAAGTTGGTAAAATGACCATGGTGTTGGTGTGCTTGACTGGCCAGCAAACTCACCAGACCTGAACCCCATAGAGAATCTATGGGGTATTGTCAAGAGGAAAATGAGAAACAAGAGACCAAAAAAAGCAGATGAGCTGAAGGCCACTGTCAAAGAAACCTGGGCTTCCATACCACCTCAGCAGTGCCACAAACTGATCACCTCCATGCCACGCCGAATTGAGGCAGTAATTAAAGCAAAAGGAGCCCCTACCAAGTATTGAGTACATGTACAGTAAATGAACATACTTTCCAGAAGGCCAACAATTCACTAAAAATTGTTTTTTTATTGGTCTTATGAAGTATTCTAATTTGTTGAGATAGTGAATTGGTGGGTTTTTGTTAAATGTGAGCCAAAATCATCACAATTAAAAGAACCAAAGACTTAAACTACTTCAGTCTGTGTGCATTGAATTTATTTAATACACGAGTTTCACAATTTGAGTTGAATTACTGAAATAAATGAACTTTTCCATGACATTCTAATTTATTGAGATGCACCTGTATGTGTTTATGCGTTTTACTCAAATGCTATACATTACATTTTAGTGTTTTTTTTATTTTATATTTTTGCCGTATACTCAACTATTATACTATTTTAACATTTCTAAAAGTTTCCAAAGGTAATTAAGTTATTTATGTTATATACTAATGTCTGAGTGTAGCATTTAAAAATATGTTTATAAAAAAGAGATAAAACCACATTAGACAAAATATCAGTTATTGTCTTAACTTAAGACAGACCCTTGAATTATTGAACTAAATTCACACCAAGGTGTAATGGCCAGTCTGCTAGCTGTGGCTGTATTACCACCTTGTGTGCGCATTAATTTTCAATAATTCAACGGTGAGAAAAGTGTAAATGGCCAGATCTTTGGTAGGATGTCCCCCTAGTTATATAGGCCCTACAAGAGTTTGTGTGTGTATTTTTGTGTTCTGCTGATGTTCATATGTGTGTGTGAGTGTGACTTGTGTGAACTTCACCACATCTGATACAGCAAGGTGAGATATGAAAAGACGTGCACATCTGAGTTTGTGAGAAGATTTTACTGTGGAAAAACAGATGCTCTGTGGTTGAATAAAAGTGTTGTATCAGCTAGAAAAAGTAAGAAGCTACAAAATGGCTCTTGTAAGGAGTACTGAAGCAAATAGTTTTTTCTCTTTTTTAGCTGATCTCTCCACTGTAGGCCACTTAACCAGTCACAACACTTTAAGCAATAGACAAAATATTTTGGGATTTTTCAAGATCTTTTCTCATTAGTAAGCATTCGCCAAGTCAAAAGAGAAAGTTAAACCTTCTATTAGTAGCAAGCATATAGTTTGGCTACATATATTTGGCTTATTGGTAGCATGTAATTGAACAGACAATAGAAGAGTGCCATTGTGACATTGTGGCAAATTACGGGCTATTACAACCCACGGGTCAGAAACTGACATAGCTAGAGAATGGAGAGCTCTGTCTGGACTGTTTTAGTTAACATGATGCTATTAGAAAGTGACTTTATATTCCTGTTTGGTGCTGTGTCTTATTCAGAAGACTGCAAGTAGTTTAGCAGCAGTATAGAAGACTCTGTTAATTAGTTAGTTCTCTGTTAATTACGATATGTGAACATACATAAAGCAAGTGAAATGCTCCATTTGCGTTATGTTTAAAGGAATAGTTCACCCCCCCCTCCAAAAAATATATATATATCGCTACACGAACTCATCCTTGAGCCATTCAAGATGAAGTTGATTTTATTTCTTCATCAGAACAGACTTGGAGAAATTTAGCATTACATCACTTGCTCACTAATAGATTATATGCAGTGAATGGGGGCCGCCAGAATGAGAGCCCAAACAGTTGATTAAAAACATCACAATAATCCACAAGAAATCCACACGACTCCAGTCCATCAAGTAACATCATGTGAAGCAAAAAGCTGCGTGTTTGTTAAAAACAAATCCATCAAGATGTTTTTAACTGATGCATTCATCAGCTGTTTGGACACTGCAGAGGATCCATTGGTGAGCAAGTGCAATGCTAAATTTCTCAAAATCTCAAACTCATCTGCATCTTGGATGGCCTGAGGGTGATTAAAATTTAAACACATTTCCATTGTGGGTGAACTATGTCTTTCATCTAAGAACTGTATGGAGACAATTGAGATATTAAACGTGATTTTTTTCCCACATTGCACAAGGGTCGACTTTGATTTCCGCCGCACGTGCTTTTATAGCTTCCCGTTCATGACGTCATCCGCCGTGACGTACCGCTCAGCTATTGGACTGATTTCACATGTGATTCAGAGCGTGGGTCACTGAAGGCGTTCCCCTAGTGTTCTCGACGCAGCTCGAGTTCCTGAAGAGGAACTTGCGTACACGAGCTGAGACCAGACGTGGAGATTTGATCGTAGCCACCGCTCACGTCCATATTGATAAATTCCACGTTTTGCGTTGAAACGACCGTACGCCCAATTTTCTGTCGTACGTTCGTTTCGTAAATGAGGCCCAATGTGACTAGTATTAGCAGATCCTCAGAGGAGTCCAATAATCACTCATTAATGCGCTGTGACATTTCATCTCTCTGGTTTCACCTGTTTTCACGCTTCCTGTAGTTACTGCACTCTGTGAAATCTGCCATGCTGAGCTGTGTTTGGCATATCGCCTCTAGTTGTTGACAGCTGAGTGTTATTGAGACACATCGTTCCACTCCACGATTGCTCTCCCTGGATTTGAAGAGCTTCACTGGGCTTCGGATTTCAGACATTTGTTAAACCTCAAGTAATCTCTAAACACATTTGCCTTGGTCTACTTTAGATGAACGTTTGAGCTATTTTTGCTTGTTTGCTGCAAACTTTCCTTAAAGAAATAGTCAAAACAGAACAACCTCACGTTGATTATTTTTTTCTTCCAGACAAGACGTTTTTAATATTTTTATATTTACATACGCTACTGTTTAAAAGCTTTTTTCCCTTAAAATAATACTTTTATTCAGCAAGGATATACATTAAACGGTTCAAAGTTGACAGTAAAGTTTTCTGTTTCAAATAAATGCTGTTCTTTTGAACTTTCTATTTTTCAAAGAATCCTGAAAAAAAAATTGTTTAAAAAAATGCACATCTATTTTCCTTTTTCTGTGATGATGATAAGAAATGTAATTTGAGCAGCAACTCAGCATTAGAATGATTTCTAAAGGATCATGTGACACTTAAGACTGGAGTAGATGGTTGCTGACAATAGATTTGACATAAATTACATTTAAAAAAATATATTTAAAAACTTTTTCTTTTAATGGAAATAATATTTTAATATTTTAACTGTAATACAATGACAACAGTTTCAGTTTTGTACATTTTAAGCAGCTACTATAATATCAAATTTTTTCTGCAAAGTAAATATCTGTCTTTATGTTTTAGTAAGAGAATCCTTTGTAAGTGACCATCGTATTTGGAGCTTCTTGGCATTAAAAAGTTTGGAAACCCCTGAATTCATTTGTTCCTGTTACTATAAGTATTCGAAGACATTTCCCGGTTATTCAGTAACATTTTGTGGGCAGAAATGTGTGTTTCGTGGAACAGTTGTGGGCTATGACTCAAATAAGTATCATCGAGCAGAAAGAAATGAGCACAGCTCACCACAATTGCACCTGGGTTTTTCTTGGCTGAGGTAAAGGGCCGAGCTGGAGCTGTTTGAGGCTAATATACTGTGACACTGATGACGCTCACCGTGACCTTTTTGTAGTCGGCTTGTTTTGGCACCACTTCCTGCATGTGTTTGTGTCCCTGGGACAGGCTAATGAGAGAGTGTCTGCACTCCACCCACTCTGAAAGACGAGCTGGATACAGCTGCTGCTGGCAAGGTTCTAATCACACCCTACAGCCTGACACCCCTCTATAAATGTGTGTGCGTTAAACCCTGATATGTCTCCCCTCCCACACAATATCATCGTCGTGTAATGCTAGCTACTGATTTTCCACTGACACAGTTACAAATATGAACATCACTTTTCTATTTATACTTCCTCGGCAGAGTCTTCCTAGTTTCATTTATTCCCACTTAGAAATTTTGAAGTACTGTATAAATATTTTAGAATACTTTCTCAGATTAAAGACTACTACAAATGAGAACAGAAGGAGTGAGATGGGGACAGAAGGAGTGACTTAGAAAATACATATTTCAAAACTTTAAAAAAACTGTACTGCACTTTTAAAATGACTAAATTGGAAACTGAAAATAAAGCACTGAGTAAACCAAAATAGAAATGAGTAAAATAAGGTCTGTGATTGACATTACTTGGATCTTTTGTTCTACATCATAATTGCTAACAAGTTGCTATTCAACAACTTAAAACACCACAAGGATGCGAGTTTACATGCTTGACAAATTGCAGTTTAGCAATATATTAGCAAAGTGTTTTTGTTGCATTTGATCATTTACTCCATTCTGAAGATTTTTGCTCACAAATTAGGAGTAAAATAAGACCCGTCAATAACTTTACTCTGAGAGACTTTCACATTTGGTTCTATAATGTAAATGACAAATTAAATACTAGCAAGGAGCTATATAAGGACTTCAAACACCACAATGATGTGAGTTTATATGCTTGATAAATTGTAGTTTAGCAATGTATTAGAAAATTATGCTTTTGCTTAACAGTTAGTCATTTAGAAGACCCATTTTACCATGTTTACCTCCATTCTTCAGATTATTGCTCACAATCTCTACTGATAAAACAGTTTTATGAGTAAGCTAAGGCTTGTGGTTAACATTACTTGAAGAAACTTTCATGTTTTACTCTACAGCATGAAATACAAACTATTTTGCTAAAGAGAAAGTAAAAAGATAATTTTAAGTAACTTTGTGATGATCATTTCAGGAACTTCTACTACATCACAATGCTGCGAGACCCTGTGTCACGTTACCTGAGTGAATGGAAGCATGTGCAGCGTGGCGCCACCTGGAAGACTTCCCTTCACATGTGTGACGGCCGCTCGCCTACACAGGATGAGCTGCCCACCTGTTATAACGGAGACGACTGGTCAGGGGTCACACTGCACGAGTTCATGGACTGCCCTTCAAACCTGGCCAACAACCGGCAGGTGCGCATGCTGGCCGATCTCAGCCTGGTGGGCTGCTACAACCTCTCCACCATGAACGAGAGCGAACGCAACCCCATTCTCCTGGCCAGTGCCAAGAGTAACCTGAAGAACATGGCCTTCTACGGCCTGACAGAGTTCCAGCGCAAGACACAGTACCTGTTCGAGCGCACTTTCCGTCTGCAGTTCATTTCCGCCTTCACGCAGATCAACAGCACGCGTGCCGCCAATGTGGATCTGCGTGACGACATGCGCAGACGCATTGAGCAACTGAATTTCCTGGATATGCAGTTGTACGAGTTCGCCAAGGAACTTTTCCTGCACAGATACCAGTTTATCCGTCAGCGTGAGCGGCAGGAGGAGAGATTGAAGAGGCGGGAAGAGAGACGCTGGCTCAGGGAGCACAGAGTCAACCAGAGCAGACAGTCCAGTGTGGGAAACCAATCTCAGGTCACCACAACTGAGGACTATGCCAGCCAAGTGGTCCATTGGTGATTCCTCTTGGAAACATGCACTAGGATACAGAGAACATAATGGCTCACTAGAGGAAGAGTAGGCCATGGGTTCTTTCTTTCAGTTTAGCACTCTACGTTTCCCTGTTGCACTGCAAAAAATCATTGCCTTGAGCAGTATTTTTGACTTATTTTGTGGGGAAAAAAAATACATAAATAAAATTACCTGAAAAGCAAAAAAACACACACACATATATATATAGCCCTATATGTAGTGGTATGCTTAAATCAACAAAACATAAACTTGAATTTGAAGATAAAATACTGTTTAAAAGTTTGGGGTCAGTACTTTTTTATGTTTTTGAAAGAAAGTTTTTAAGCTCACCAATGTTGAAAGCAGTTGTGCTGCGTAATATTTTTGTATAAACTGTGAGACTTTTTTTCCCCAGAATTCTTTGATTTATATAGTTCAAAAGAACAGCATTTATTTGAAATAGAAATTTTTGTAACTTTATAAATGTCTTTCTTGTCACTTTTGTTTAATCTATTGCATCCTTGCTGAATAAAAGTATCAATTTCTTTACAAAAATGCTGACCCCAAACTTTTGAATGGTGGTGAATATTCTCTGTCTGAGGAGTGTTAATATTTTGCTTTGCACAAAACATTTTAAACTTTATATTTTGTCATTGTGCATGGTACAAGTACAAAGCCAGTCAAATGCAGCAACTTTCAGTAACGAACATTTCTACATAAGTTCTCATTTAGCGCTCAGATTTTTCTTATTTCTTGTTTCAAGGGTTTAAATATATTTACTGTAAAACATGACAAAAATACTGATTAAGGAAATGTTTTTTTTTTTTTTGCAGTGTGGTTTATTCAGGATTTCTGCTGATTCCTTTGCAATGAAATTGAGACAGCGATGTAGATATACAGTAGACTGCAAACCAATTCCTGAAAAAGGATGATCTGTGTTCAATCGCCATGCAACCTCCAACATCTTTGTGAAGGAACAACAAACCCTACACCACAGAGTTATATAAAGGTACAGCACTGGCAGTGTTACGGGTGTACACTCAATATGTGTTCTTGCATTCAAAAACAGACAGTGAACGGAATAAAATGCTGACATGTTTTTAATGCTCAGGCCTGTTGCCAGTAAAGATTCTCTCTTGGCCAGCGCCAAGAGTAACCTGAAGAACATGGCCTTCTACGGCCTGACAGAGTTCCAGCGCAAGACACAGTACCTGTTCGAGCGCACTTTCCGTCTGCGGTTCATTTCCGCCTTCACGCAGATCAACAGCACGCGTGCCGCCAATGTGGATCTGCGTGACGACATGCGCAGACGCATTGAGCAACTGAATTTCCTGGATATGCAGTTGTACGAGTTCGCCAAGGAACTTTTCCTGCACAGATACCAGTTTATCCGTCAGCGTGAGCGGCAGGAGGAGAGATTGAAGAGGCGGGAAGAGAGACGCTGGCTCAGGGAGCACAGAGTCAACCAGAGCAGACAGTCCAGTGTGGGAAACCAATCTCAGGTCACCACAACTGAGGACTATGCCAGCCAAGTGGTCCATTGGTGATTCCTCTTGGAAACATGCACTAGGATACAGAGAACATAATGGCTCACTAGAGGAAGAGTAGGCCATGGGTTCTTTCTTTCAGTTTAGCACTCTACGTTTCCCTGTTGCACTGCAAAAAATCATTGCCTTGAGCAGTATTTTTGACTTATTTTGTGGGGAAAAAAAATACATAAATAAAATTACCTGAAAAGCAAAAAAACACACACACATATATATATAGCCCTATATGTAGTGGTATGCTTAAATCAACAAAACATAAACTTGAATTTGAAGATAAAATACTGTTTAAAAGTTTGGGGTCAGTACTTTTTTATGTTTTTGAAAGAAAGTTTTTAAGCTCACCAATGTTGAAAGCAGTTGTGCTGCGTAATATTTTTGTATAAACTGTGAGACTTTTTTTCCCCAGAATTCTTTGATTTATATAGTTCAAAAGAACAGCATTTATTTGAAATAGAAATTTTTGTAACTTTATAAATGTCTTTCTTGTCACTTTTGTTTAATCTATTGCATCCTTGCTGAATAAAAGTATCAATTTCTTTACAAAAATGCTGACCCCAAACTTTTGAATGGTGGTGAATATTCTCTGTCTGAGGAGTGTTAATATTTTGCTTTGCACAAAACATTTTAAACTTTATATTTTGTCATTGTGCATGGTACAAGTACAAAGCCAGTCAAATGCAGCAACTTTCAGTAACGAACATTTCTACATAAGTTCTCATTTAGCGCTCAGATTTTTCTTATTTCTTGTTTCAAGGGTTTAAATATATTTACTGTAAAACATGACAAAAATACTGATTAAGGAAATGGTTTTTTTTTTTTTGCAGTGTGGTTTATTCAGGATTTCTGCTGATTCCTTTGCAATGAAATTGAGACAGCGATGTAGATATACAGTAGACTGCAAACCAATTCCTGAAAAAGGATGATCTGTGTTCAATCGCCATGCAACCTCCAACATCTTTGTGAAGGAACAACAAACCCTACACCACAGAGTTATATAAAGGTACAGCACTGGCAGTGTTACGGGTGTACACTCAATATGTGTTCTTGCATTCAAAAACAGACAGTGAACGGAATAAAATGCTGACATGTTTTTAATGCTCAGGCCTGTTGCCAGTAAAGATTCTCAGTAGACACTCTATCAGAGCTCTCTCTGTCTTTAAAAGAAGCAAACTTAGAGCGTTGAGACAGTCTGTACTCTACTGAGAATCTCTAGAATCTCTAGTAGTAGTTTCTCAATGATATGTTGTAAAATTCAGGGTTAGCAGACGCCGCCACAACAAGAGCCTCATCTGTGACATACAGTAGTAGCAGAGAAATGTTACAGTTGCTACTGTAAACACTATAAGATATTTTTAGTTTTTGTCAAGTATGATTTATGGGAGTTGCACAAGAAGAACATAAAAAAGTATAATAATAATAATTACAATAAAAACAGTGCTCGCCATGATTTACAAATGCAAATATAAGTATGAAAGAAAAACATCCATCCAGCTCACTAAGCCATAACTTAGTAATAAGTGGACATTTACTGAATGGTTTTAAAACTGAGATTGTGTAAGAGATGGAACACTTCAATTTTTCACTTAAAACAATGCTTATGACTTGAGAGATGATGCAAATAATGAATGCAAAAAAGTTACAAATAGCACAGTTGGAATGTGAAAACACTTCATGTTTGTATACCCCCTAAAGGTGAAAGAAAATTCACATCACAAGAAGAAGAAGAAAAAAAGATTGTACACAGTTAATAATAGGTCAATTGCAAAAGTTCACATTTGACCTGGAATGGAGCATTATAAATACTATAGGAATATCTGTACACAGGATGAATCCAATATGAACTGCATTATGCCGCAAGAGAGAAGTGTGTGTTTGTTTCAGGAAGACTGAATGAATGGGTGAGTATTTGTTTCTTCCCCAATGCTGTTTCACATATTTCTGTAGTCCTCACTAAAACTTGTACTGTCTGGGAGAATTTTTCTGAAGCTAGAACTTCCAGGTCAAAGGGAATGAAGCACTTGTGGTTTTTACATCCTTGAACCACTGGCAGGTTAAAAGAAAGCCTTTTCTGGTCTGTGCTTTGTGGCAGCTTTTAAAAACTAGGTCCTCATATGATTTGTGCAAATGAATAACAGATATAAACAGTGCTGATATCAATCACATCCAAACAAAACTGAGGATAATGGGTTATCTTCTATCCCTAAAATAAAAAAAAAAGATGTATTGCTCATTGTGGTTATGGAGAACATGGAAATGCTAAAGAAATTTATGATTTTAGACCAAAAAATTACAAATAGCACAGTTGGAATGTGAAAACACTTCATGTTTGTATACCCCCTAAAGGTGAAAGAAAATTCACATCACAAGAAGAAGAAGAAAAAAAAGATTGTACACAGTTAATAATAGGTCAATTGCAAAAGTTCACATTTGACCTGGAATGGAGCATTATAAATACTATAGGAATATCTGTACACAGGATGAATCCAATATGAACTGCATTATGCCGCAAGAGAGAAGTGTGTGTTTGTTTCAGGAAGACTGAATGAATGGGTGAGTATTTGTTTCTTCCCCAATGCTGTTTCACATATTTCTGTAGTCCTCACTAAAACTTGTACTGTCTGGGAGAATTTTTCTGAAGCTAGAACTTCCAGGTCAAAGGGAATGAAGCACTTGTGGTTTTTACATCCTTGAACTACTGGCAGGTTAAAAGAAAGCCTTTTCTGGTCTGTGCTTTGTGGCAGCTTTTAAAAACTAGGTCCTCATATGATTTGTGCAAATGAATAACAGATATAAACAGTGCTGATATATGGGTATGGGATGATGGGTTATCTTCTATCCCTAAAATAAAAAAAAAAGATGTATTGCTCATTGTGGTTATGGAGAACATGGAAATGCTAAAGAAATTTATGATTTTAGACCAAAAAAAGACTATAGAAGTTTACCGTTTTGTTTTGTTTGTATGTTGTTCCATATGTTTTTAACTTGAATCTGTGCTGGTATGTGTGTGTGTGTGTGTGTGGGGGATATTATTATTTGAGTCTTTATTGAAGCAGCAAAACGAACTGTTTTGTTCAGCTAAAAATAGCTGGACGGAGTGGACGCAGATGAAACCGGAAGCCAGACCCATATAATTTACAAATGGCCGCGCCCATTTTTACGACAAGAAAAAGGTGGATAGAAGTTTACCGTTTTGTTTTGTTTGTATGTTGTTCCATATGTTTTTAACTTGAATCTGTGCTGGTATGTGTGTGTGTGTGGTCAAAACTGAAAAACATTACTTAGTGCACCTTTAAAAAATATTGTTGGAGTGACCTGCTAGAGAAAGGACATAGTAATCAACCTGCACTAGGAAATTATATTCCACAATGATGCATTTCAGGTAATTTAGCAGAATGAAAATATGTCATGTTACTGATTGATTCATTCACCGGTTACCTGAAAACCATTTTCCCCCATGGTCCATATGTTTTTAACTTGAATCTGTGCTGGTATGTGTGTGTGTGTGTGTGTGGGGGATATTATTATTTGAGTCTTTATTGTGTGAGGCCAGAAGACCTGAGATTATGTACCAATGCAAGTTTGTGTGTATGTAAATGTGTGTGATCTGAAATGAATATAAGTGTTGCAATGTGTTTTAATTGCTTTGTTCACTTAAGTGCAATATGATATGAAAAACAACCCCTTATGGGAAATGCAGATGTTAATAAGTATGCACATTTAGCTGTTTTGGCCTGTATTACTTTTGATTTAGCCTTAATATTATTAATTTCATTCATATTCACATAAAGTACAATATGATTTTATTAAAAAAAGTGATGCTCAAATATTATATATTTCTCTAAATGTTTTAATTATATTGACCCAGGGGGTGAAGCATTACGTTTTTTCATGCTATGTATTTCACATGGAATTAAATTAAGTTTTAGTTTTGCTCAAAGGTCTGGCATCACTTGTTTACAGGTGCCATGTGGTGTGATATTTTGTATCTAATGTAATTGTGTTTTTACAAAAAGTGTGGCTTAAGTGTCCAAATACGTTTGGGGGCCAGAGTGGGAAAAATCAAAGGTGCTATAGTCTCTTTTTGTGATTCAACCACTAGAGGGCAGAGAAACTCCACCAATGTTTTAATGTTACCCATTCTTTACACAGGGTTAAGAATGCTGTAAACGTGTGAACCCTTTGAAAATGTCTGCATTTCTGCATTGATTGCTCATAAAATGTGTTCTGATATTAATTTAAATCAGACTAAACTAAAAACACGAACAACTGTACTTTTCACATTTTTACTGAATAATTGTATTTCAAAAGCTTTACAGTCTATTGAAGTATTTACCTTAAAAAGTTATAAACCTAAACAAATTGTGCTTCTGGCATGTTTAAAATGATGTCCACTCACATGAGATGAAAAATCAGTTTTATTCTGTACAATGGTGGTCCCCACTCCTGACCAACTGAACACTTACTTTACCACAGTACTATTTGTTGTAGATTAAGTTAATCATGGTGACAAATACACGTGATTTTTGTGGTATTTCTAAAATAGAGCTGGTAACTGAAAAACTCAAAACTG